CCGTAAAACACTAAACGGTTGTAAAGCTGCCGCCCCGAAAACGCGCGCGAGCGTGCACCGTTGTTTAGCCCTTGTGCTGTTGCTGCGGTATCGTCTTCTTCCTTTGCGGCCCGGCCGAATAGAGACACGGACCCCGTCGGATGTTAAATCATCCCGCGACCACGCCTCCTCCTGTCCTTTCTTTTTTTTTCTCTCTCTCTTTCGCTCTCGTCTCGAGCCTCTCGAACTCCTCTTCGTCCTCTTCCTCCTCTTCGTTCGGACCGCGAATCCTTCGGGACAGAGAAGAGAACCTTGATGCCCCCGTTCCGCCGCCTGTGTTTTAATATCCGCGGATTGATTTGGAAAGCGAATCCGAAATGGAATCTTTCTATCTCGAATCTATTCGAGAGTTTCCTCTTGCGAGCGATTCGATTTGGAATTTTTGATTCGGGGAGAGGGTTTTCTTCTTCTTCGAGAATCTTCGAGAAGAGAGTTTTCGGTATTCTCGATTTTTTGATTAGATCGAATGATAATATTATTTCTTTCTGGTTATAGAATAGATTATTCGCAATATTTTGAGAAAAATAATTAGCTTAGAAATATTGGGTTTTTAGTATAAAATTAGGACACTTTAATTTCATTTCAGAAGTTAATAGCACTATGTATGATATAAATATGTCCAAATTAAATTTTATTTCTTGTATTGTATTGTAAAGACAAATATTTGTTTATATTTCTCATGAAGAGTGCATAGTTTTATTGCACAAATGCAAAATTATTGAACAAAATAATTTATATATAGTGTTTGTTTTGGAATTTGAATAACTTCTTCTTCAGGAAAAATGTTTTTTTTAAATATTTATATAGAGAGCTATTTTTGTACGATTCCAGTGAATCGTATCATGATTTTCTGATGCATGATCACACAGTAATTTCGTTTTTGGTATTCGGTAGTTAAAGAATTAAGAAAAGGAACTTCCCTTTTGATTATAGGAACCGCTTGATAGTGTTGTTAACTCCGATTATTAAAAGATAAATTTATCTCTCTCTCTCTCTTTCTCGAAAACGATAGAATTTCTCTTCGACAAACAATAATCAACTTGTCTCTCAACCAGTACCAAAATTATCCCAAACATTTCTTAAATATATATAATTAATGAACATGTATAAAATATATACGCATTATCATTATTCTATAATATCATACTTATTTAATATAATCTTCATCGGTTGCTGCTTCCACGATCCTCGTCTCACAATTTTCCAAATAATAACAACTCGAGTTTTAAATTCCAAGAAAACCACATTCCGATCATTCAAACTTATTTACGCTAAGAACCATAATTTCTTTCATGCGAACAGAGTCTATCTATCATCAATCACATCTTCTTGACATCTGAAAAAAACCATACTCTCGAATTAATAACAACACAGAACTGTTTTTACCACAAAGTATACTTTTCCGGATATACGATATCTTTTTAAGTTTTATCCTCTTTCCGATTTCTTCATTGAGAGATCATTCAATGATAGATCGATCCAATGTTTAATGTAAAATTCAATATTCAAAATGTTAGTGGAGAATTCGAATCTGTTGATTTCTTTCTTTTTTTTCTTTTTGAATGTAAAAATAAATGTAAAATCAAAAATTGTTATCAAGATCACAATTAATTAAAATGAAAATTAAAATGATGATTTAGAATTTATATTATCAAAATCTGAATAATCGGAATCGACTTTTTATCCAATTGCAGGATTAAAAATATTTTAATCGATGCGTTGAAAATTGAAACGAAGCAACGATTGATGGTATGTATAAAAAATAAATTATTCAAAAATAATTTTAATAATATATATAAATAAAATCATCCTTCTTTCTAAATATAAATCCCAAGATAAATCCAAGAATTCTACTTGGTCAAGAAAGAAAAGAAAAGTTATTTAAAAGTTCAACAAAATATTTCAAAGTTAACAAGAAAGAATAATCAATGTTCGATTCTATTTGCGACGTGCCCTATCCCATCACCGAATGATCTCTCTATAACTCCGTGAAATCTTTCTCATCTATCGGTCGTCGCTTTAAACTTTGATGACTCCGTGATAAACGGGAGGTCGTAAAATTATCGAGCGGAAATTACAAGAGTCGACCAAAGGGGAACCGGGTCCAAAGTACAACCTGTCGGAAGTCGTCCTCGTAATTAGGCACTCGTTATCCCCCTGGAATTTAATCCAGAGCGAGCAACATCTCCACGTCGATCATCATCATCCACGCCCGATTTGCATCGTTTCGTGAACGGATTAAGATTCAATATAAGCCTGTGGAGAAGGATCCAAGCTCCCTCGTATTTACCCCGAACGGCGATGAAGTTGTTTCCGATCTTCTTCGATGATTGCCCACGGCCGACGCCGTGATTAAACTTAATTCCAACCGTTTAGGATTGTATCATCTCTCTCGATTCAGGATGCGCGCAATGTTTAATAACCGCGTGATAAATTGCGTAAAACCGGTAACAGTTGTGCCTCGATCATTTACACCTCGATCGAATACGTTAAAACATACATATTCTTTCGAATAAATTCCTCGAATAATTGGACGTGAAAATGGATATTGCGATTAATTCCTTTCCGTTTGCAAATAATTCTCGAGAAATTCTGAAGATTCTATATTCCGTAAAGAGAATCTCGCGTCTATTTTATATTTTATACTTTATGTTCACGAACAGAAATTCCGAAATTTCCTTTCCTCGATCTCGAATACTCCATTGTTCCATTCTCGCGAATACCTCTAATCTACAAAAGACCAATCAACTCATCGACGAATACCAAAAAAAAAAAATCACTTCGATAGAAAGAAACGATCCACCATATCGCTCACCGTTATACAACCACCACTATCGCGGATAATCAGTTCCCCGCCTCGTCCCTCCCCAACAAACAGCTACCAGCGTCTCGAAAATTTCGTAATTTCTTTAAACGATCGGTTGACAGATAATCGACACGGTGTTTTGGACCGAGCAGATCCGCATTATCGGGCCTCGTGATCGAGAAGTGATCGATATACCCTCGATCCCTGACCCAATCGATAACGAGGTATTAACGATCCGGAGCTCTGAACCAGTTTTCAGAGGGGAGGGTTCTGGCTCCTCTCTCTCTCCTCCGTGCTGGAGGGATCCGTCCTCCCCTCC